TTACACATCTGTGCTTATATTATATTTACATATATTTACATATTTCCTTATAACCTTGTCTCTGTTTAAGTGCATTTTTTGTCTGTCATTTCTTTCAGCTGAACTAAAGTTGATATATTGGTTACTTGTTTCAGAGAAGGAGTTCTACTCTTAAAAACCACCAAACAAACAGATAAAAAGCTGTGGTTTTTTTAAAACTGGAGAGAATGAAACTATTTAACAAAAATAAATAGAGAAAAGTTACAGTTCAGCCTTAGGAAAAATAGCTGCAAAACCGTAAAAGAAGAAATGTGACTTTATGCAGGACCTGACTAAGAATTTATGATATGGACCACTGAACTCATCTTTTGTCATTTATCTCTGTAAATGTGTGAGATTTCTTGGAAGATAGTTAGTCAAATTAGGAGCCGAGATGAATCAGTGGATATAATTTATTTAGACTTTAAAAAGGCTTTTGATGATAAAGTCCTTAGCAAGGGGCTATTAAGGAAAGTTAGTAACCATATGGTGAAAGATAAAGTCCTGCCATGGATTAAAAAGTGGTTAAGAGATAAGATAAAAAGACTGGAAATAAAGGGATAATTCTCCCTGGAAAGAGGTTAATAGCAAGGTGCCCCTTCATTACCGTGACCAGCAATCGATAGCTTGGTTCACCTGCTTTTGCAGATCATTAATAGTGAGGTATAGAACTTGTAGATAAAAATGTTCAGGCTAATCAGTGCACTGCAGAAAATATTACTAAAGCTGAAGTAAAACGTCATTTGGGCAATTCAAGGGAGATGAAATTTGCCAAAGGTAGTAAATGCAAAGACAAGGCTCTGGAAAGGAAGGGTCCAGACCTCTGGCTGCAGATCTGTGCCCGATGACTCGCAATGGACAACAGGAAACTGTTCCTGTGCAGTGTATAGAAGGGATGACAGCTGGATTCAGTGGTTCCATGGTGTGGTGCTCCCAGGAACAAGGCAGTTTATGGCAGCAAATAACTTCAAACAGGCAGAGCCCATTAAGATCTGTCGGGAACAATTTTGCGTGGACAGGGTGATGGACAAGCTGCATCAAAAACTGCTGGACTGTGGGATTTATCATCAAATGTGGCTATACAAGACAGAAATTTAATGTGGAAACACATCAGAACTGGTGAACTCCTGTGGGAAATGTTTCTGAAGGACAAAATCAAACAAAAAATTAAAGGTTTTTTTTTCAGTCAGAATGAACTCTCAGAAGAGAGTGTGAGAGGATGTGTGTGTCCCAATGCAATCCTCCATACGCCCAATGCCTAGACAGCCACAGATTTTGGATCAAATCCTTGCTCTGTCTAACATCATGAGTATTCTTGGAGAAAAGACATGAATGCTGCTTTTGCTTCATGAGTGTCCTGCCCACTGGGATATCAAGTTGATGTCTCTGAGACCTCATACAAACTTAAGAGTGAATTATCCAATGGGAAAGAATGTGAGACTCTTTCCAAGGATAGCCAAAGGTGGCAAAATTTGGGCCTATCCACCATCAGAAATTAGGAATCCATATTCAAGTTTCTGCTCTGTTTGCTTCACAGCAGGGGTACGAATTTGTCTGCTTTTCAACTTGGGCAAGTGCTCTAATTATTATTGACCTTCTGGTTTTGTTGTGCAAATAAATATATGGATCTTTTGTATTTGAATACTTGAAATTTTAAACATTTTTTGCAAAGAGGACAAAAGCACTAATTGCATAGCACTTGTCCTTCAGTGTATCATCTGACCTTACAGACTGGACAGAGACAGAAATATATTATTGCACAGTGTGATGCATTAAACCAGTTTGCATTTTCCCTAAAGATCCAGCCTTTCCCTAAAGATTCAGCACAGTAAGAGGTCACTGCTACCATAGTTACCCACTCTAATGCAGCATTCTGCAGGAGTTCTCCAGTTGTGACCAGTTTCAGCCTGGTGGTTTCTGTGTTTTTAGTGCTCTTGAGTTACGTGGCTGTACTGGAGTAAGGAAAGGCAGGGACTGGATACATGTAGGGCTACAGTTTTTTCTTGTTCCCTCATGAAATACTTGGGTAAATCAGGTTTATGTAGAAGACCTTAAAAGTTTGGGAGTAAAGAAATCCTATATTCAGGCTGCTAATTGGAAAGAATTAGCAAAAACAGTTTGCAATTGCTGTATGAATTGATGGACTGTAGTACTAAACCCAAAGTATGAATACACCAGCAGATTTAAACAGCAGTAAATCTAAATACGGTTTATACACTAAAACATCATCTATGATAATACAGAGGGACATATCTAGTGTCAGCATCACAGGCTGAAGTGTTCCACAAAGGGGAAAGTGGCTGTTCTGTTTTTCTACTCTTCAAGCAAACATCTCTAATTTTCTGTGCCCCGTCTGTTGTAACAGGACTGTGCTCACCCACCTGACCCAAAAGGTGAGCTGGTTTGTCAAGCATCACTCCCTGAATCTGACTTCAAAAGGCATTAAAGGAGCTCATTCGGGGAAAGACAGGTGGGAAGGTGCACGTATTCATCACTTACCTGAGTTTTGCCAAAGCTTTTCTGCAGTTCAAAAACTGACAAAGATTCTGCATATTATTCTAAATAAAATAGATTTGCTGCCTCCTATCTTAATGTCAGTCTAGAAGTTTATCTGGAAAACACATGCTGGAAATTTTGATGAAAAGGGTAATGCCAAGAAAGCATAATGGTGATGAAAGTACTGAACCTTAATAATAAAATGCTTCAAACCCAGATGCTTATCAACGAGAATTTGAAATGTATTTGTTAGCTTTTGTCTACCCAGAAGCAGTTTGCCTACACTTCACACAAACTCCTGTATACAGTTTTCTTTTGCAGTGCTGGTAGTTTTTCTGGTGTGTGTGTGTGGAAACTGGATGGATTTTAGCCTCTGGTGTAAGGGTAGAGGTAAACCCTTTTACACTGGACAAAGAAAATACGATTGTCAGCTAATTCATAGGCTGTTCATACAGAAATGTTTCAAGTATCTCTTCACTGCCACTGCACTGTAACTTCATCCCTTTAGAGCACCTCTTTATAAAAAGCTCTCAAACCCACAATTCTTCAGCTTTTCCTTATGCTAAAGTTGTTCAGCTCTTTCTCAGACTTAAATCAGTTGGCAAGTAAGAAACTGAAAACATCCATCTGGATTAGTGCCCCCAACATGATGCAAACTGAGAACGTTTGTTCACTCAGCTACCTGATGTAGTGACAGAGCTGGGACAGGACAAAGCCCTGGGGTTTTATATCAAGTTGTCTTTTAAAAAGTCAACTTCTGACTAAAACCACAGTGAAAATACTTTGTAAAGCAGTGTGGTTATGCCAGAACAAAGGAAGGATGGCTACATCCTGTAGAAACACCTTTAGCCCCTCAGATGGAGACAGGCAGAGGGAAATGCTGCAAAGGGCTCAATCCACGGGGCTGATTCCATATCTACTGTCAGATACTTGGGAGGTACCTCAGGAGGGAAAATGGAGTTTTGTAAAAGCATTAGAAAAGGAATATCAACATGATACTATGCTGAGAACCCTGTGATCACCCTCAGAAGCTGTCAGGTTCTCAGGGCTGGGCTTCCTGCACAAAACATGCCAGTAAAGTGTCCTTACCGGACACCACGCCACAGCTTATCTCACACATCTGATATTCCTGGAGCAGCCCATTCTGGGAGAGTTTCTGGCATAAAGTTGACTTTTGTAGAAGCGTGACTTGTTGCCAGGATCCCCTTCCTACCTCCATGCCCCCTTACATACGGAGCACAGCACTGCCAGCACGCTCCTGACAAGGCTGAGGAGGGCTTGCTGTGCCACAGGGCTGTAGAGCAACCTCATTCCATGGAACACTGCAATGTGTCCCGTTCTGTACATGCAATCCCCCCCAGATGTCAATGTTAAGAAGTAAAGAGTTAAAGAGCCATCACAGTGAAAAGAGAGAGAATCTTGCATGTAGCAGTTCTAGTCCTTGCCAGCCATGCAGAAAAACTTAACCCTGTGTGCTTGGACACTCACCTGCATGTCTGGTTCACATCCTGCTCACCAGTTCTCACTAAGCACATCTACAACACTTTATTTTTCACAGATCATGCCAAGGGATTAAAAAAACTGGGAAAAAAAATATTTCTAATGACTGTTTTTTAAAAGCAGCATTGGTTGACTTTCACCACTGAAGCCACAATAGCTCCTGCTGCACATCTCACATAAAAGCCAGGCATTGTGTATTTTCACCACTAAACATATTTTACCTGACCAATCCAACCCATATTACCCCTGTGCTCCATCAGGTGTACAGATTGGAAGGACTTAATACACAGTTTTCTGGTTCCTTCAATAAACCTACCGGAGCAACATATCACAAGTTTCAATAATTCTGCCTAATAATCGAATAAATGAAAATCACTCAGGCAGTATTTGTTTTATCTGTGTTCTCGGAAGGAGCTTTCATAGCAACCCCAAGGGTGATGCAGTTTTTCAAAGATTAATGAATAATAATTTTTTTTTCCAGTACATATCTTTACATACACATCTTAAACAAATCTTATTTAAGGAATCTTGGAATTTTAAGATGTTCTATCCTAGCAAAACTGTTTATTTACCAACTTTAGAATTCCAGAAATAGAATTTAATTGGCAAAATACATTTTAAATTGTTTTCACTTAGTTTAAATGTTCACAAATACCTCTATTTTTCATAAAGATTTAACTCCCAAATGGTTAAGATTCATAGACAGATGTAATAAAGAGTTCAAGAATTCTGTGTCCTGCTTGTGTATTTAAAATTCCCAGCTAACTAGCAGGAGAGAGGCTGCTAGGGATGCTTACAGATGTCTGATTTTACAAGGTTTGAGTTTGTTGTTTTCTTTTTTTTTCATGCTAAAGTGCTTTAGTCTAATGTTATTTGTTGTTTATGGAAGTTGTTTGTCATTTAGGACATGAAGGGACCACTCCCTCAAAAGAAAGAATCAAGTTACAATCCATTATTTCATTTTTGATTGTTTTTCTTTGTAATAGGTGGGAAAGTGGATCCTGGATAAAAGTCCTGCCCAAGTCAAGACTCAAAGCTGAAGACTCCAATTATCTATAAATCACTTGAATTTCCTGCAGAGAAAGAGAAAAAGGAGGAAAGAGCGAGACAGACAGAAAAACAGAGACAGAGGATGTGCCAAGTGAAACATTTGATACCTGTCCTAAAGTAAATTTTTCTCAAAAGCAACCAGGAGTTACCCGATACCTCAAAACCAAGCTCAGAAGAAACATGTTGCCATTCTTTTTGGCTTAATATTGAAATGAAAGAATTGTCTTTTAATTGTTCCACGAGTACAAAATGTGTAACATTGCACATCTGAGATGATGGCACTATGTATTCTGATTTATTAAAGGTCACCATCCAGCTTACATTCTTACAGCTGTGATTGCTGATGGCTGCTGTATTTTTCAAAGATTTTTAGAACCAATTCTCCAGTTTCAGAACAGAGAAAGGCAAGTAAATTTATTATGCAAACAGGCTGAGATACCACTCCCAAGTATTTCCCATTGAACACTCCTGAAGCACAGTTTGCACTGAAACCAACAATGAACAAAATTCATGCCAAATACTATTTGCACAGTGTGACTGCTCCCGAAGTGTAACACTACACAACATCCAATAACTGCATTTCTTATTTATTTAAACTATTTTAAAAGAAATTGTGTGCCAGAAACCATATGCATCTTTTAATTTGCATATTGCAGTTTGCATTAAAATGTAATGAAATCTAAAATAGCTGACTTTCCCCTGAAACATGCTTCTAGAACATGGAATTGCTGTAACAAATTAGAGGACAAATTAGTTTTGGCACCCGCTAAAAAAAAGAGAAAAGATGAAAAGCTTTTAAACTGATGATATGAAGGAAAAAATTGCACTACATCGGCCAAAATGAGTCTCCTATCAGCTTTAAAGCTCCTGAAGTTGTATTTCCAGTAGATAAAAATGTTATCACCTTTTTCCAGTGCTGATGTGCTTATTTTCCTATTAAGTTACTTGGTAATTAGAAACAAAGTCTGACACATTGTAATCTGTTTATACAATAGATTTGAAACTTCTCCAACAGAAATGAAATCATTCTTTAAAGATACTAAAGATGCGAAGATTAAAAACATATAAACGAATTTAAAAATTCAAATTGCATTTACAAACAAATGACTGTTCTTAAAGCCCATTTTAATTGACAAAACCAATTTAGTCTCATAATACACCACAGAAAACCAGCAGATATTTCTACACCGACCCTAACTCACTCTCTATGAGAATTAGTCTTAAAGGTTAGTAGGAAAAACCATGCCCTCTTTGCAATATTGTTCAAGGGTGTATTCAAGTATCACGGAAGTTGGTAGAGACCTGTTCCAGTGCTGTAACAACCTGGTAGTGTTAAGAGTCCTCCAGGAATCATAAAAGAGTCTCTTGGGCACACAGGGTAATTCAAGAAAGAAAATATTTTTATTTTCTGATTGAGATACACAGGTATGTATAGTAATGTCCTCTGAAGTACATCAAAAGCAACTAAAGTATATTCGAGAACTATTGATTTTGCACTGAAAGTAAACCCCAGCAGCTCTGTAGGAAATACTACATTAAAGAGAAGTGGCAAAGCCAGTCCCAGCAGATCTAATTTGCTTTTCTATTATCCTGTGGTTTTGCAGATGATTACAGGGCTAAAAATCTGTTTCCTTTATTACAGATTCAAGGCAGTCTTAGCAGTTTTTTTATCTCTACACTCAAGTTGGGTAGGACAGAATGAAACTGATTTTAAGCAAAATTCCTCCTTTGGAGGGAAACCCAGGAATTTCTCTGCCAGAACAAACGAACACAACTTACCTTGGTGTATTTGATTTCAAGGTTGAGAGTGGGAGAAGGCAGCAGATGCAGAGATGCCATCAGAGCTGCGGGATCTGCCTTCACCTCCCCTGGCATCTCAATTTTACTGGAAGTCATAGTCTTGGGGGGGGTTTATAATACCACCGAGCCCCCCGCTCTGACCTGATGTTGTGTTGTGTTTTGGGTTGTTCCCCCCCCCCCTCCAAAGACCAGCGCTGAAGATGTTGCTCTCCTCCTCTGTATATAGGCAGGTGTCAAGCCGGGTCTCTTCTTATTGGACATGGGGGCAGAGGCAGGGGGGCAGGTCCATCCTACCTAGGGCGATAGCGGCACAGCCCCGCTCACTCGCGGCGCAGCCTCCGCCGGGCCCCCCCGGGCCCGCGCCCCGTCCCGGGCATTGCCGTCCCCCCGCAGCAGGACGGAGCTCCAGGGCGCAGATCCTGCCTCCCGCCCCAGGAGCGGCACTGGGGAACGGGACGCGGGGAACTCGGGGCACCGCAACTCTCGGGCTCCCCTTCGCCTCCCCCCAACCGGGTGGGGACCGGCGGGGAGGCGGCGCGGCGGGGAGCGGCCGGTGCGGGATCCGGCCCCGCCCGGGGCATCCTGCGGGGAGCACAGCCCGGCTCGGCACAGCCCGGCTCGGCACAGCCCGGCTCGGCACAGCCCGGCTCGGCACGGCCCGGGCAGTCCCGGCCGCGGCGGGGGGAGGCCTGTCGGAGCCGGGGGCCGGTGCCCCGCCAGGAGCAGTGGCGGTGCTGGGGCGCGCACCCGGCAGGGCGGGGGCGGCCCCTCGCGGGTCCCGGACGCGGAGAGGGCACGGGGTGGGCAGGGCGCAGCCTCCGCGGTACCGTGCCCGTGGCGGTCCCCGCTCCCGGCCGATGCTCTGCTCCGCTCCGCACCGCACCTGGCGGCTGCGCGCCCGCCCTGCCCCGCTCCGCTCCCGCCACCGGGCGCGCACTGCGCGGAACTCCCGGTCCCCGCAGCTCTGCCCCCGGCCGGGCCGCTGTTCCCCGCGGGCTCTCCCCCCGGGCTCTCTCTCCCCCCGGACTCTCCCCTCCCCGCAGCGCTGACCCCCCGGGCTCTCCCCTCTCCTCTCCCCGCGCTCCCTGACGCGGGACCGGCCCCGGCCGCCGCCATCCCCGGCCGCCTGCTGCCCCCTGGCGGCCGCGCCGCGCATCCCGCCCGCTGCCGGGGAAGCGCCGAGCGCCTTTCCTGCTCCTCCGAGCGCCTTTCCTGCTCCTCCGAG